TAATGAACAGGTAATATGTGCATACTCTAAGGGTGTCAGCCTCGTTTCCCAGCCATCCACATGCTTTTCCAATTGAGTAAGGCATTATGTCATAGAATATCTTTTAAAATTATACCCTAATACTGAGTTCTGCAAATTACGGCCAACATGACATATGATATATCACCTACAGGGAGAAAACCCATATACTTCATAAAACAGTCTAACATTAAAAAAGAATGAAGTTCTACAGTTTCAAAAAATATTATTTTTGCCTGAGGTATTCAAGCAACAAATATAAACATACCTGCAAGGAGGCAAGACCATGGAGTCTTTCATAAGCACAGATCCAGAAAGCAGGATATACCAACATCTCGCAATAGTTTCCGAACTGTTTAAATAAGCAAATAAATTAATTAATAAGTAAATGAGCCTATTTACATGTATAAGAACTATGGTATTTGAAATACATTCCCATATTACAAATCACTGAAAGTTAAAGTGAATGCTAGTTGGGAATTTTAAAATACCCCTATATTTGATACAGCCCATGTTCACACGAGAAAACCATAATCCCAATTCCAAGGCAACCCCACTCAAGTTTTAGTCATACTGTGGTGGCTTGTATGTTGCTGTAATGTTGGAAGCTATGCCCTGGTATCTCAAATACCAGCAGGGTCACACAATTTTCACAGGGTCACAGCAGGGTGAACAATTTTCAGCAGTTTTCATAATAAGAACAATTGAGGAAGAGGCAATTCACTTCTAAAAATAAGCAACTGGAAAACCTTATGAATAGCAGCGAAACACTGTCTGACATAGTACCATAAGAGCCACTCAAGTTGGAAGGCAGTCAAAATACACCTGGAGAAGAGATGCCACCTAAGCAATAATATAGTTGACCTCGTGAGAAGTAACAAATACAAATAAAAGGCATCTTGTTCACAATTTAGAAGAACATGTCAAGGTCTTTATTGCAATATTATGTTGTATATGACAGGATAATAACTATACACCTAAAAGTGAGTCCAGTTAATAGAATTACTATTCAAATTTATGCACTAACCACTGAAGCCAGCAGTTTAAAAATTGAAGAATTCTACCAGCTTCTTCCCACCACTTGTCTGTCAGTTTGTAATATGGTGACAGTTTGTGTGTTGCTGTGATGCTGAAAATGCTATCACTGGCATGATAAATACAAGCAGGGTCACCCAAAGAAAACAGGTTTTGGCAGAACTTCTAGATTAAGAACAGATTTGGGGATCCTTATGGGAAGAGACACATCTGGAAAAGCTTACAATTAAGATATGGCGGAAATGAAGTCAATGTTCCGGGAAGTTCTTCCAAAAGAAGGGCAGCTGTCTGTGGAAGATATAACCACAATGGTGCTATGTAAGCCCAAACTTTTACCCTTAAGACCTCTGACTCTGGAAAAACTGGAGAAAATGCAGCAAGCAGCCCAGGATACAGTTCACCAGCTAGCATTGGTAGAAAAGGAAAAGCAGCAAATAACACCCCGAATGATGACCTAGTACTTCCACCACAACCCTGCCTACCATTTCATAGTAACCTGAAAGAAAATCCACATCTTATACTAATAGAAATGTATTAATAAAACTAATATTATTCAAATAGGTACTGCAGAAATACCAAGATTGAGCTGTGCAACGGCCTCCAGATTTGGTGGGGATTGGATCTCAAACTCTTGTCTTATGGAATCATTTAACCCAATCATATGGGCAAGGTAGCCAAAGGACCACAAAGGTCTCTCAATCAGGCAACTGCAGGGATGTCAGGAGAGGTTGAGATGCCTGGGCTGGAGGAAGAGCTTGCCAGAAGAGGTGGCACAATAGACAAAATGGTGGAGGCCATTGCCACCTTCATTAATAAAACCTGGACTTACCTAGATAATCCATCCAGAAGCTGACTGTGCTGATGCTGATGAGCAAATGGGAGACACATTGGCCTACCAGGTAAACAATTACCAAGCCAAGGAAGGTGTGGAACCCGCAAATTGATGTCCAGGTCGTATAACCTGAGAGGAATTCCCTCTTTTCTTTGAAGAAAGGCTTGAAGAATATGTAAGGAATAGCCTAAAAGTTTACCTTAAGATAAACTCCATTTCGGCTGAACTCTAAGTGGTCCAAAGAGAATTCCCATCCATGACTGGGTTCAGCCAGAGGTAGCAGCCTGGAGATACAGCCCAGGACATGCCTAACACAATCCCATAATGGGCTCGGTGCTTTGTACTGAGCTCAAAGAAGCCTTAAGTAAAGACAAAACCCTTCATTGAAACTCTCACCAAGACTGACTCCTTGAAGACGTACTTTTCTGAGATGCTGGGGACAACTCCCAACACTTTTTGATTTTGTGCTACCCGTTGGCACTAGATGAGAGGAAATAGCCTACCTTTTTTCTTGCTTCAGGAATTTCACCCTGAGCCCTCAAGGAAGTAAGGAGACAAGCCTGGTGGCAAGTGACACAGCCCTCTTGAAGGACGAGCCCCCAAAGAATATGGAGCAGCAGGTGCTACTTTTCAGTGGCTACTGGCTCTTATCCAGAAGGCCAAGAGACCACCCTGAAAATGAGTGATCACTGGAGAAAACCCCATGTATGCAGCCAGAGCATGGCCATGTTTGCCACATGTACTTTCCATAAGGGAATGACAACCACGCCAGCAAGTAGCTTGTCCCACCTACTTGCTGATAAGGGGAGTAGATGTGTGTTTTTCTTGGAATTAGAGATAAGATTCAGCCACCAAAAAAAACCCCAAGATTGATGAGACTTGTATTAAGAATTTAAAAACTTGGGTTTGCACTGAATACAAGAAATTAAAATACTTTTCACCACATTTTCTGACATCTTACCCAAGTCAAGTTCTTGGAATTACAAGTTAAATTATTCAGCATTTAAACTATTCAGGTTTACAGACAATATTCTCAGGTATAGGTGGCTAAATGCAGTGTGTGTTCAGACTAGGTTTCTATAATACCCAATACAAAATGTATATAAATAAGTTTTGCTTTTATATCATGTTTTAACTTTATATCATGTTTAAGGCTATCTTGAACTAACCAGTAATGACTAAAGAGCTTCTTAAAAGTTATTTTAAATAACATCTCACCTACTCTGCATGGTCATCAAAACTGAAAAATATATGGCTACCTCCATCAAGGTCTCAAAAAATTAAATACATGAAAATGCTTATTATAAGGGTTCATGAGGGAGGGGAGAGCAGAGAGGGAAGGGAAAAAAATGAGGACCTGATGCCAGGGGCTTAAGAGGAGAGCAAATGTTTTGAGAATGATGAGGGCAATGAATGTACAAATGTGCTTTACACAGTTGATGTATGTATGGTGATAAGAGTTGTATGAGCCCCTAATAAAAAAAAAATTTTTTTAAAGAAAATGCTTATTATAAGGTGACTATAAAAGTTCTTGGAAAAATTTTATTATCCTTGCATTACATTTTCCCACAAACTTTAAGCCGCTGCCCAATATAAGCCAAAGTAACATGGACTTGAAAGAACCCAAGGTAAATGTGAAAATTTAGAATTGTAATTTTAATACTATCTAAGCTTATCTTAGATACCGTCATAATACTTTTATAAAAATTCTGACCATAGTTCCAGGTAAGTTTGCTGAGTCACTAATAAGCAATGCAAGCAAGCATAGACCTGACACCTGGCTGAGTAACGAGGCTCAGTATTTATTTACTGACAACTAATAGTTTCTTAGATGCTGTTAAATGCAACACCTTTTGAGTCTTTGAAGAATAATTTTCCTAACATTTGGTAGTAAAAATTAAGAATTAAGATTGGTATTTTTTAATCGTTTTATTAGGAGCTCATACAACTCTTTTCGCAATCCATACATACATCAATTGTGTAAAGCACATTTGTACATTCATTGCCCTCATCATTCTCAAAATATTTGCTCTCCACCTACTAAGCCCCTGGCATCAGCTCATTTTTTTTCTCTCCCTACCCACTCCCTCCTCCCTCATGAACCCTTAATAATTTATAAATTATTATTATTTTGTCATATCTTGCCCTGTCCAACGTTTCCCTTCACCCACTTTTCTGTTGTCCGTCCCCCAGGGAGGAGGTCACATATAGATCCTTGTAATCGGTTCCCCCTTTGCAACCCACCCTCCCTCCACCCTCCCAATATTACCACTCACACCACTGGTTCTAAAGGGATCATCCGTCCTGGATTCCCTGTGTTTTCAGTTCCTATCTGTACCAGTGTACATCCTCTGGTCTTGCCAGATTTGTACGGTAGAATTGGGATCTTGATAGTAGGGGGTGAGGAGGAAGCATTTAGGAACTAGAGGAAAGCTGTATGTTTCATCGTTGCTACATCACACCCTGACTGGCTTGTATCCTCCCCAAGACCCTTCTGTAAGGAGATCTCCAGTGGCCTACAAATGGGTTTTGTGTCTCCACTCCGCACTCCCCCCTCATTCACTATGGTAAGATTTTTTTGTTCTGATGATGCCTGATATCTGATCCCTTCGACACCTCGTGATCGCATAGCCTGGTGTGCTTCTTCCATGTGGGCTTTGTTGCTTCTGAGCTAGATGACCGCTTGTTTACCTTCAAGCCTTTAAGACTCCAGACACTATATCTTTTGATAGCCAGGCACCATCAAAGATAGGTATTATACAAATTTTTGAAACTTCATTAAGCTCTCTCGCTAAACAGAGGTCAATGAACAAGGTGTAGGTGTTCCTGCATTTGTCCTCATTTAAATGTTTCTAAAATCTAGTTTAAGTTTTTGACATAAATGCTAGCCAAGAAGCTTAAGGAAAAAAAGGCAAGTTATCTTCCTTGTATAATTTAAATTTTGCTGTGTGGAGTTACAAAGATGTTTTGTTTTTTAAGACCCAAAATAAATACATACAATAAAGAAAAAAAAAAAAGATTATGAAGAAGAATAGGATGTCCACTTCAGACAAATTAGCCACTGAAAATCTTATAAATAGCATCAACACACTGTCAGTTACTGAAAGCCTCATGAACAGAATCAGATAATATAATTGAATGATGGGTTGTCATAAGATTTGTAAGAGCCACCTAATAAAATGATTTTT